TATATATATATATATATATATATATATATATATATATATATATAATTAAAAAAGCTGAGATTTTATGCCCTTATTGAAAGTAATAAAGCAGATATGTTTTAATTCATTCAGAGATTTAGGAGCTTTCTTAAGAGTAGCATCTATAAAAAAAAAAGGACTTTTGTCAAATCTGAACAAGCTTTTGCACAGGACATCATTTCTCGAATGTTTCTGTGAGTCATTTAATTTGATAAATAGGACACATACAGTAGGTTTTATGATGAATATATGAAAGTGCAATGCCATCTGCTGGCACACTGAGGGACTTTTTAATGCAGCCAGAAGGAAAAACAAAAAGCAGAAATGTTATTTATCAGCCAATTTAAATATTTTTTTGTCATAACAAAGATATTTATCTGTATTTTTTCCAGCAGGTGCAGGAAACCTTTGACAATTACCATTCAGGTGATAATTCACACATCCTTAAAGATTTCCTCTACTTACCTTGATCAGATAAAGAAGGTGCAATCAATTGAACATAGGGGGCAGCAGATTAGTTTTACAGTAAATCTGCAACCAAGGCAGTTATGTGCCTTTTGAAGATTTAAAAGCTTCATCCTGAACAAATAAATTCATATGATTACAGGCTGAAACTAGGTCTGATTGAAGAGTCAATATTGCATTGTCAAATCAAATAAAAGCTGCTGTACACAATGCATTTGCTGACTATATTGTACAGCATCAATTTGGTGTTTTTATAAGGTGCCTTAAAATACATGTTTAAATAATAACCCCAATCCTGTCAAGAATTGAGAAATAGAATATTGAGACATTTACTTTATGCAGCAATAATCAAATGTTTATCAAAAGCAATAGTTTCAGACCATCTCCATTATAGTGGTTACCTTTCCAGGCCTCTACATAAAACATGTTCACCTTTCCTTTAGTGATGCATTTTATCTGTTTCTAACACAGCTCCAATCTCAGCAGGAACCATAATTGCCCGTCTCTTGCTGTGTGGTGAACACTACAATCGGCATTATGTGTTCGACTGTGCTACGATAAAAGCTACCACACCATTTCATAGGACTTAATACCAGAAAATAAATTCTGTTGATCTGGTAGAAGGTCTTCCCTTGATGCTCAGCTGCTTTTCTGGGACTGAAAACAACATATTTGCTTGTGGCTTAAAAAAAAATAGATTTTAATGTGACCTTTATGCGTTCATTTGATTAATTCAGCCACTTTTAAGGTACAGAAATAACCTCAAAGTCATTATCAGAAAATTTACTTCACGTTGATCTATAATGTTATTTTTTTTGCACCATAAAAATACTCATGAAAGCTGGGCAGGAAAAAGGGACTCAAACAAGCTAATTCTGAGGATATCTTGAATTTTCTTTTTTTTTCTTCGTTGTTTTAATTTACCAATTTTGTTAAGATTAATGTTTTATAGCAGTCATGTTCCAAGTACTGGCTAAGGGTCACAATGAAGTCTTATTTGGTTGTTATTCTTCAAATATAAGTTGACTTTGGCCTAACCTAACTGGCCTTATGTTTAAGATGTATAGTATGGCTGTTTTTATCCGAATATCTGTCCCATATTATTTGAGTGCGTTAAGCAGGACAGTCATAAGATGATGTAATAGTAATAAAATCAAGTCTGTAATGTTTCTGCGGTTTTAAGTATGGCACTGGTTTTATTACCTTTAATGAAATATCAACTTGGGACTGGATATTAGCCAATGTGTTATTATTATTTTAATAAAAGATTTGCACAGCATACGTAACAAAACATCCTAATTGAGGCATCCTCCATTGAATTATGTCTGCTCTGTGGCTGCAATATTCACCTTAGCTTGTTTTTTTACTTAGATCTGTTCACTCAGGAGATGCAACTACGGACTGAACTTGAATTGAACCTATTTATCTTGCATGAGAGCAAATCAGTGATATGCAAACATATAACTGTCTCACTGGCAGTAGCTTCATTCGATTACGGCTTTATGAAGCTAAAATAATTAGAAAACATGTAACTACATTGTTGGATTTTCTGAGCAAATCACAAAATGATGTAATTACATTTGGCTCTGCTGTTGTTTACTGAATAAAGGTCTCATTTTTGCTGTTATCTGCATAACAACACTTTGGAGAACAGCAACAGTTAAGGAGACAAATTCCCTGTTTCATGAGGGGAAAAAAAGGAAAGAGGCACATAAATATATCACAGTGCATGTTCTCTAAATCATGGAACAAAAGATAATCATAGGAGACACTTACTGAGATTACAGTCTATCCTGATACAATCTGGTGAGAGAGAGAGTGAGATGGTGAGATTAAAGGAAAAAAAGAACAGCATAAAAGAGGAGAATATTTCACATCCTTCAAGGTATATTCTGCAGACAGTTCAGTGCTTTTTCAGAGCCCACCATCCGGGGACAGCCTCGAGAGACTAAACCGCCACTTTCCTCCCTGCAGTTTTCATAACAAACCAGTGAGGGGAAAGGACAAAGCTCACTGTGTGTTTGGCTCTGCTGGAGGCAAAGCAGAGCACATCAAAGTTAGGATCAATAAGAGCTTTATTGACCGTAAAAGTAAAGGTGCACCAGCTTTAGTGTGTTTTCCGCATCAATGCCGGCTCTGGTAAGGCTGCTTACGCTCAGCTTTTGGCAGTTTGATTGTTTCAGAAACCATGACTGATAGTTTTACTGACATGTGCTCTGGGGTAAATCAGCAAACATGCACCGCTGTGAGGAAAGTCGTCTAAAGACGATAACAAAAATAGAAAATGGAACATGTGCTAGATTTGAGCGTGTCACACAGAGGAGTGAAACAAGTTTTAGCTTATCAGCAAAGAAAAAAAATAAAATAGCAATAAAGATCATGTTAAACTGGCTGCTGAACATTTGTTGGAACTATGCAAAAACAAGCTTATATTATATATTAAGTCTAGCCTTTAAGATTACTTGAGAACATAGCATCGTTATTTTCTTTTTTTTTTTACTGGACAGAATTATACTTAAACACCCTAACAAACAAGTGAAAGAGGAACTTTAATAATTTAATTTAATTTAATTCCCTTACCTAACCAATACAGACCCAATATTTGGTACCCGGCCATTCTCATTTATTCTTTTCCTCCTTAAACCTCAGTTTAAAACAATTCCCTACCAGTTTGTCTATTTTAATTGAACCGTTTATGACTTTCTAATGGCAGTGTAATACTCCTTATTTCCCTTTTTTTTGGTTCAAATCCCTCTTTGACCTGATTGTCCAGCTAATGAGGGCATTTTTTAAGTGAAGGTATTTGTTTATTAGGCAATTAATATTGACGAATTTAGAGGTTGACTGAGCACAACTGAACCAGTTGTTTCCATAATCAGATCCGTATTGTAACACTGAACACAGGACATGTGAGCAAGTGCATAAATCAAAAAGGTAACAGAATTTAATAACAAACCTTTTATGCTAAGAGAAGGTTTTTTTATGATACAAGCAGATGTCAATCTGATTAATCATTCTTAGGTTTGTTAAATAATCCTACATATGTTGTCTTTACAGTAATTATTAAAAAAACATTTCACAACTCTGCTTTCCTGCTTTTGGCCTCTTTAATACATTTATATTTGGATCCCATTCAACCATGAGCCAGCTCTGTGAAAAGTAATAATTCTAAGTCAGTTTTGAAAATGGTTGGCCATAAGCTGAACCAGTTAAAAGAAAGAAAGTGTTGCCCCTAGTTTTCACAAGGTCGCAGTAGGGATAAGAAGAAGCTTTTTAAGTCACAGAAAGAAGCTTGAAACAAACAGTCATCTCTCCAAAAACCAACTAACTAAAAAAATAACAAATCCTCCTGCACCAGAGGGCTGTATTGATTTTTAGGCTACAAAAATCCAAGACCTTTTGGTCAAAGGGCAAAATAACCAACAAATTACAAAGGCAACATTTATTTTTAATTTTTTATTTAATTGTAGAGTCTAAAGCTTTAGGCTGATGCACCTTTATTTAAATTGTCCATATTGTTTCAGCTGAAACTGCAATCAAGCCTCATTTTGCAGACCTCATGGCAGATTATTTATTCAAGTTGAACAGGGAGGAAAAGTGGTGATTTGCACAACCTGCAGCCACCGTCAGACTTACACTATAGGAAATAATAAAAGCAAAAACCTGTTTATTTTATTTAATTATTTTTTTTTACATCAAAACCTGATTTTATCTTTTAAATTTACAAGGAATGTTACAGTATTTTTTTAACTTGAATTTAGTCCAAATAAGTCCTGGAAATTTTAAACAACCTGCAGAAATGTAAAAGAATACACTAGTGTAAGTCAGGTGGCAGAGAAGTGCTCTCAAGCTGTCAACCATCACAGAGCAGTGGAAACAGACAGCCAGAGACCAGGGAGTTTTCTGAAGCAGGTGTGTGTGTTTCTTTGTGTGTCTGTGTCCATCACTGACGCTCCCTGCTCAGTGAAGTGACTCTAAACTGGACAAGCCAGCAAATGTGAGGGGAGGGAACGACAATGGGACCATCAATGGTGTGAGGAGTTTAAGTGGTGATATTTCAGTGTAATGATGGATCAGGTCTCTGACTGCCCTCTCCTTGAACTGCAGACAAGCCATTGAAGGGCTGATAGAGCTGAGACGGTCGGGTGGGACCCAACCCCAGGATGAACTGAGAGGAGACAGATAGGAAGACAGGTATAGGTAGAGAGAAATAGAGAGGCAGGCAAACCATGCACACATACAGTTGTTTAAAAAGACACAGCCCTTGTTCTGTTCTATTGCTTTTTAGTCAAATAACTTATTTAACTATTTTCTTTTTTTATATATTTAGATGGTGGAACCATTTTAATTACCGTAAAGAATGAAGTCATCATTTTTAATGTCTTTTCACTATCTTTTTTAAAGCTCTTGTCATATTGGCTTGTTTATAATTTTATCAAGGTTGTAAATTATTCTCCATCAAAGAATTTTAAACATCCCTTCCAGATTTTTCTCAACTGTTCCCTGCCCATGTTGGTTCCTTCTGCTATTCTATCCATACCCCTCTTTCTTTTTCCTTGTGATTTTCTTGTTAATTTACCAAATACTCTGCATCACACAAAACTAATCCTCATATCTGACATCCCAGATGGCTATTTGTCTGAAGTTTTTTTTATTTTTTTTCTGTGCCAAAAGCTTTTCAATAAAGGTTAAAATGTGAATAATTTTCTCTAAAACACCCATAAGTGGAATTGATTTCCTCATTCATCTCAGACTAAATTTGAAGAATAGCTGATCTCCACTGCTTAATAAGACCAGGCTACCATGGAAACAGAGATTTCTAGCAAATGTCAAAGCCTCTCCTTGTACTTTATTTTTGAACTATGACTATCATAATAAAATTAAGGTTATGCAGAAATCTACGGGTGATTTATTTTAGATAATTTAGGATCACTTTATTTCATTAATGAACAAGGCAGAGAAAATGTACCCCTTGCAGCTTTCTTTTGTCTATTTTTTTCATCATACAATGTGAACCCAGCTACATTTAGACCCATTTTTCTCTTTAGGTTCCTGATCACAGCTATGCTTTGTTGTTGAAGTTTAGTTCAGCCAAATTGTATTAATGCATGGGCAGAGCAATCGAGCATGCTTTTTGTAAACTTGACTACCTGAATTCCTTTGAGAGTTCATAATAATCTGATCCAAAAAAGAACAAATCAGTGATAGCAAATAAGTGATATGCAAAAGAATCTAGAGTATCTCCCCTCAAAAAATTAAAAACAATCCACTGGACTTTGTTTCCAAGTTTGAAGAAGTTGGAACAATCCAGCGGATTGTTTTTAATTTTGTTTAAGGAATGACTATGTCCTTGATGGGTGAGAATCTTCACCAGCAAAATCCAGAGTATCAATTACAGCACTGTAAGCCTCGCTTCCTCCTGCTGTGGTGAAAATAGTAAAATGCCCCATCAGTCAAGTAAGAAGCTGAGGTTTATGGTAGGCTGAGCTATGTTCAATCATATTTAACCCTTTTAAACCACAAACCAACACACTGCCGTTAGTGTTTGTACATAGATAGTTCCTGCTAATCTAAATTCTACACACTAAAAAGATCATACTAGAAATATATTTGCACCTTCTAGGGCAGGAGTCTGTAACTTTTAAAACCCTAAATAGCCATCTTGCCCTGAGTCCTTAATGGCTCTTTGGACCTTCAGCAATTAATAAAAGCCAATCAGCTTAATAAAAGCCAATCAGACCTGCAAATATTACAAAACCCTTTGATAAAATGCAACTTATTGTTAAATATCTGCTATAAGAAATATGTTGCCACTTGTTTTTTTAGGTTTTGAACAGAGAAAAACAGCTTTTGCAGAGGAAATGTGAATTTTCAACATCTGTGGAAAATTATAAGGTAAATGTAGATAGAAACACAACATATTACTGGTTCTTTAAAAGTTTCTTTTGGAAACTCAACTTAACTATAAAAAAGCAACAACAACAAAAACAAACATAACATTTCTAAAACTACCATATGTTATTATGCCTTATTTAGCATATGTAGCCAAGATTAAGAGTCATTGTTGAAGGTCCAAAGAGCCAGTTTTGGCGCTGGATCCACAGGTTGCAGATCCCTGTTTTACCGGCTGGGATTATGCCAGTAATGCACAATTTTTGCTTAACAAAGCTTAGAAACTATAATGAATCATTGATTTAAAATTCCTTTCCAGCAAAATAACATCTTTAAATAGAAATTAATTCATACAGTAAGAAAAAACATACAGTATTTGCTTGTAAAAGATGTATGAAGCAGCTGATTGTTTATTATCAAGCAGTTTTTAGGGATTAAAATACTTAGTGACTCTGGAGCTCTGTCTTATATGAATATTATATTTCTTTTTACTTGTTTTTGTATTTTATTCATTAAGCCAAATAATCTAGTCCATGAACAGTTAAAGAAAGACTTTCAATGGCAGCTATAAATAGCAATAAAAAAGGTTTGTCTATTTTCCTCTGGATCATCCAGGACAGGGTTATGGTCTAATTATAACTGACTAATATATATTTATATAATCTGTTTAAATAAAAATGTTAAATGTTTTTAAACTACAACAGAAACAAGGGATGAGCTTATCTTATTAAGCAACTGTATTCATTGTGCATGAAGATGCGAATGGAGGAGCCTGACTAAACAAATTTCATTGGTGTCTCTGTCTATTAGACACGTCCTTATAGGTCAGGTGGAATGATCTGCTGATATTTGCTGCAGCAGCTTTACCCAGGTTCACAGTGAGCTTGACTCTGCCTCCGTCCAGCTCTATGCGCAGGGTGTCCGCTGACTGCTGAGATGTGGTGGCCATCAGCAGACCAAAGGCCCTCTGGGACATGAAGCGCAGGGACACGTCCTCGGCCTCTGTGTGTAGCGTCCTCGGCAGCACCACCTTCAGATACATGCTGCCATCATAACTCACCGCTGTGGCTTCTGTGGATGTGAAGGAAGAGAAGCGCTTTAGCAGACGTTGAAATCAATAAACACTAAAAAAAAAAAAAAAAAAAAAGCAGGTCTATTTAAGAATAAAAATAAAAAAAATACACAGAAGCCCCCTTTTTTTTTCCAGATAATTTCGGGGACAGCAATATATAGTTTTAGATTGCAGTTTTTATCAACCACACCAGATGGCAGAAAAAGCCTGGAGCAGATGAAGGCAGAGGGTGAGAAAGCAGCAATTAAATTTCCCAAAGACTTACTCCCATCCCAGTGCAATGCAGGAGGGATTTTCATACATCCGTCAAATTATTAGCTGCCAATTGATCTACGTAATTTGGCCTCTCTGTGAGAAAACCATCTGCATGGCTAATGCAAAGGGATCCAGGGCGAATGACTCTGCCTAAGCACCACTGCATCCCTAATGACACACACAAAACACTCACACCCTCACAACAGACAATTCATTAATGAACTACTCGACTGTGGGAAAATACTCCTATTTACTTTACAAGCCTTTAAATAAAACATAACTTTCAATTGTTGTGTCATTTTCACCAAACTACTTTGCAGACATAAAATATAATTTAGGGGTTGGAGTAAGGATCTCATTTAAATACATATGAGAACTTAAAAAATGATCCCACTTGCAACTGTAAATGAAATTACAATTTCTGTTGAGGTCTTGGATATTAGGTCAGATGATACATCTTCCCTCCTCGCTGTGCAGTTACTTTTTACACCTCCCACAATAAATAAAATACAACGCAAAGTGTGTTAAAAGCTTCCCTGCAGCTTTTTTAAATCACTTGTCCCCATCCATCCACCACTAACATCCTCCCAACCAAAGACTCTCACCCTTCTCACAGCTGGGGCCCACGTAGCCTGTGCCACTGCAGTCGCAGACATGCCGGTTCCAGCCCTCTCTGCAATGTCCACCATTGGCACACGTGTCTCTGGAGCATCTCAGATGGGTCTCCCTGGTGCAGAAGCTGCTAACACCCGTGGCACTCTGCACCTCTGCCAGCCTCCACAGGTTGCGGCTCTGCCCGTCGATGAAGATGTCCCTCACGCAGCCCACAAAGCCGAGGCCCAGGGAGGCCGTCCATACCTCGGGGGGCAGAATGAGGGCTTGCCGGTCTTCGGGTAAACCTCCGAGATACATGTCTCCGTCCAAGTCAAGGATCTCGCTGCCTTCGTTGGCGGTGAAGGGGATGCTCTGGCTGTTTACAGAGATAAAGCCTGTGGGATAGACATTAACACTAGATCAATTTGAACAAGTGTGTGTGTTTTTTGTTGCTAAGGAATAGAAAAAGGAAACAGCTGTGTGTGGGTTGTGCTGAGTGATTTGTATAAACAAAGTATAAAGCCGAGGAGATGGGCACCAATTTGTTATATTAAATAGTCCACATGAAGACATCACTCTGCCAGTCTTTTAGAGTTTGTATTTAGTAAAAGGCAAAGTTTAAACTACATATCAGTCTTGTGATCTCTGGATATAACCACAGTGATTTGCTAAAGAATTCATTGACCTCCAGCTTTTCCATCTTCTGCCAACTTATAATAAAAACAATGCAATTTTGATCTTCTATAGACGTGTTTCCACTAGGGCAGGGCAATTAATTGCATTTGCAAAATGATAGGTATAACTAGTGCTCTATTTTAGTCACAAGAGTATCAAGCTCTTTCAATGTGATAGGGTTAAAAGTATCAAAGTAACACGTAAGTGTGACTTTAACAGAAAATAACGCAGTTTCCATGTTTGTACAAATATAATTCTAAATAGAGAGGTACTCATATCCTCAGCCCTCTACTCTGATCCCTGCAGTAAACTCCAGTGCAAACAGCTCTTTAGAGGACACCTAATAAGCAAGCAGAGTCCATCTGTATGGGATTTTCTCTGAGTGAAAATAAAAAAAAGGAGGCCAAGAGGTGCATTTTTATGATAGGGGGAGCTGCAAAGATCCACGGGTCATGTTAGATCATCCATTAAACATGCTCTCAGCAAATGAGGCCTGCTTGGAGGTTTGACCATAATAAATGATGATTATTTTCAAAGGATATACGGATATCAGACTTTGAAGTCAGCAGAATACCACAAATGTGAAATTGGCAGAGGTGGAATCCAGGTCCAGAAAGCAAAAGCCTGTATAAACTTAAGTTTTATTAGCATTTCCAGCTCAACAAAACAGATTGCGGGCTAATCACCTGGTTAAGTGAAAGGGATGAAGAAAAACTAGATATGATTTTTAATTTCTGGACCTGGATTAGCTTCCTCTGGGTTGTCAGATGAAACCAAAACTGAAACTTCTGGTGTTCATGTTTAACATTCAGCATGCTTTAGGGGTGCTTTTACTCATCAGGGACTAGAAAGTTAGTCTGGAGTTATTGAAGATGGAAACAGCTAAATGGAGTGGAATCCTGGAAGAGAATATGTTGGAGGCTACAAAATACTTGGAAGAAAATGGAGGTTGGCCTTGTTGTAGAAAGCAGCACTAACCGTATAGCAGGAGCTGCAGTAAAATAGCTTAGATGAAAACATTTTAATGTTTTAAAATGCTCAAGGTAACATCTACACCTAGATCATTTGGTAAGTTTGTAGCAAACCGTGTATATTGGAGGCAGTCTCCATTTAGTCCGAATAAGATTTTGTTATTTTGCAAAAAATTGTGCAAACATTTCAGCCTGAATGTGCTTAGCACCTTCCAAAACACTAGCAGCTCTAACTGCAGTAAAAGGTTTTACAAAATAAGAATTCAGAGGAAATGAACATAAATGCCTGCCACAATTTTCTTGTAAAATTAAAAATGTTTAAATCCATGCAGTACTTTGTGTTCATATTAAAGCCCCTAAAAATATATTGAATTTTGTAGCTGAAACAATAGAAACATAAAAAAGTTGAAGTCTTATTATTGGTTTTGCAAGGCACAGCATATTAACAGACAAATTACGTAGAAAATGAAAAGATCAGCATGTCTCTCTTGGATTCTGCTAATAAGACGTTTTTCATTGTTCAAATACAGCAGACATTTACTAGTTTCATTTGGACTGGGTGACTGTATAATTGGCCACTTTTTAAATAGGTTAACACATATTTCAAAATGTCACTTTGAGATTACAGCAACCCAAAATTATAATCATAATTAAAAGTTAATATGTGTGTCTGTTTCACTGCAGCGAATAAAAAGCATCAGGAGCATGTGGATGTCAATGTATCCATGCTGTCATATGGCAATTTCACAGCTTGGAGGCCTTTATGCTCAACAGCTAAAAGTGGAGACACACAGAGGCACACAGAAGGCTCCCCACCTCCACCTTCTGCCTTTACAAATGTATGAAATTATCTCACCATTTCTCCCCTTTCTTTGGAAGTCCACGTGCCACCACTCGCCATCGTCAAGCCGCTTGTTGCTGGCCTTGATCTTAATGCTGCCAGAACCCATATCCATGGCCAAGTGGAGAAATCCCTCCAGTAGCTCTATGGCAAAGAAGTCAGCGCGTGGCTTCCTATCGGGCAACACTCCCTGCTGGCTGCCGTGGCTGAACAGCAGCAGGCCGTTGGACTCTGTGGTGCGGAAGTCGAAAGATATGGCGCCGGTCTTCTTTGTGTTCCACCTGGGCAATGTCAGGTAGGCAGACGGTGTGTCGAAGGTGACCGGCTCAAGAGCTTCCACGTTTTCACAGCTGAATATCAGGTCGCCATGGATACTGATCTTGGGGTCTCGCTGCTCAGCCAGGCGTGACAGTTCCAGTCTAAACTCATTATTCCTGTAGACCACCTAGTAAATGAGAGAGATGTGGTAGTGAGATGACAGCCAGGAAGGGGGAAGGGAGGGAGGTTTAAAGCTGGTGTTCAGGTTGAATACTGCTCATCGATAAATCCAGGAATCAATATAGTACGGAGGCATTTACGAGGGAACACAACAGACAGCGTGTTGAGTGATCCCGGAGCTCAAATAAACAGGCAAATTTTCATTAGATGGAATTATGACCACTAAGTGCAGTAATCTAAAAAAACACACATACAAAATCAAACACATTTAGCCTCTCAGAGACAATTTGTGAGTCAATGCATTGACAGAGTGGCACTGAACAGATTGTGCGGTTTAATAAACTCATTAGCTGAATGCTTTAGAAATTATTTGTGAGGCCAGACATTATTTTTCATCCCACTGAGATCCTGCACCATGTTTTCATTTACCTGTTTTCAGGTTTGTTACGAAATAGGCTTCATCGCCATCAGAAAGCATGAAAACAGAGGGTTGCAGCAATTCTGTATCTGGAAAAATTGATTCACATTCAGATGCTAATGAAATATATACATTTAAGGAACATAGTGTAGGTAGTTTATGCTGCAGCAGATTAAAAAAAATGACTTAAATTATGCTGTCACAGTCACAAAAAACAAATCTACATGCAAAATGGCTAAAAAGTGTCAGCTGTCTGATAATGTTATTTCACATAAAACTGGCGTCACAGAGAGATTTTCGATCCTATACAGGTGGAGGAAACACAGGAGGAAAGCAAAACACATTTGGAAAAAAAGGTTTTACAAAAATATTATACTGAAAATATAATTGCTGCCCAATTTGACTCCAAAAGGACATGGTCAGTGCTAAATAAAGTCTTAAACCTTGCAAATAAATGGGTTTTTACTTCTTTGCTCTTTAAACCCACTGATCCTACTGAAATGTAAAAAATCATTACAAATTTGAAGAACAATAATACAGCAGGGGCAGATGGAATATGCAGCATGACTATAGTAGAACCACTTACGCACTACATTAATATATCGTTACTTTAAAGTATAGTGCAAAAAAAGACCAAAATCGCAAGGATCCTTCCAATTTTCAAATCTGGAGATGAATATAATATATTATCTAGCTTTGTCTTACTGTACCACTTTCTCCAAGGTACTGGTGACAGTTGTGCATATCAGATTGAGTGAATACCAGGATAAAGTACTTCTTCACTGATACCCAGTATGGCTTCAGGAGGAAGAGATCAACCATGGCCATACTGTACCTGATTGAGTAAATGAATGATGTTTTTGATCAAGGTCACTTTTCCTTGACTTAACAGTTGATTTTAACTTCCCACTTGAAGTGACCTCATTCCCAGCAGGCACTTGATGCTAATGTAATGTTAAAACAATATTGTACCCCAACGTTGGATTATCGTTGGATTATGATGCTAAAATGAAAGTTGGATTTACGATAAATCCTTTCTTAATTTAACATAAGCACTCAGCATTGAGCAGACTTTGGATATTGGACACAAGCCTCAGTTACAAAACGTAAAAATTTATGTTTAACTGATATTAGCTTTTGACATTGTATCAACATTGGCATTTGGTTGTCCAACAATGGAACCCATGTCCAACCAAAAACCAACATTAAATAATGTAGTGTGTCTGCTGGGTTACAGCATTAAAGGAACAGGGCTAAACTGGTTAAGAAGTAATTTCTATGGTCGACATCAATATGTAAATACTGATAATATATCAATAAAAAAGCAAGTCAAATATGGGGTATCCCAGGGTTAAATTCTGGGGCCATTGCTCTTTATTATTTATATAAATGACAACATAAATACGTCTTATGGCATAAGGTCATGTTTGCTGATGACACTAACCTTGTTTCTAACCATGTTTCTAACCTTTCTCACATGAAAACCTGCCTGATCGTTTTAGTGCTGAACAACAAAAAAGGATACCTGATTCAAGTGCAATAATTATTGCCTAACATCAACAAAACTAACAAATTTGCATTTTAAACAAATAAGAATACTTTAGACACCAGTGGAATTCCTTTATAGGTAAATGATAAAGAGTAATGGCAGGTTAGATTTACAAAGTTCTTGGGGATCTCAGTTTTACAAATCATACTGAACACTTATCAACACTATCTAAATATGTCGGGCTGTTCTTTAAAAAAAAGAAATTACCTACCCTTACTTCTTCTTCTGACCTTTTACAAAACTCTCTTTGAGCATCATTAACTAATGTAATGTCATTTGGTGTAACACTTTTCCCAGTCATTTAAGGAATGGAAAGTTTGCTAAAGAATATACAAGCTTTGTCCTTTTCTGGTTTCATTGCCCATTATATCCACTATTCCATCATCTTAGACTCCTTCAACTAAAGGCGCGAATATATAAAAATAAAATTTATTTTATATTATTTACTAAATAATATACATTTTTGGATCAGCCCAAGTTCCAGCCTCATTTTGCATCCTGCGTCGTGTAGTATACAGGTGGTAACGTAGGGCAATGAGCTTCTCACCACCAGATCCCAACCTGGAATCGTGAGATTGGGAGAAAACCTAACATTTTTGAAATTCAGTCGGCCCTCATGAGTTGTTCATGAGCAAACCCTGCTTCTGAAGCAGAGCTAGGGGCCAGTTTACCTGAGCCTCACACATGGCTCATGTCCCAACAAGAGAATTCTTCTTCAAGATTGATGAGTCCAACCAGCGTCCAATGTGTGGGCAGTTGGATAGTATCAGAGCATCGGGCAGTACAGCGTAAGTAGATACATTGTGAGCTTTGAACTTTTAAACCCTGCGGTTTTGTTGTGCAGTTTGAGCTGTAACTGAGTTCAAAGATTGAAAATATAGTACAGTGTATGTCTGCCTTTACTGGCTTGAACATATATCAGAATGCATGTATGATGTTCCAAACAAAAAGCACATCAGGTTGCCCGAGCTCATTCCAATATGTCGTCCTCTGCACAAAAGTTAATGTCACATAAGTGATAAAAAAAAAGGTTAAAAAGCACCAGACTGAGTACCACTTGCAGGAGACCACAGATATAGAATAACATTGATGAAGAGATCAAAGTGTTAATATCTATCTCCACCTTTAAAAACAAGTTAAACACAAAACTACTAAATTCATATGTACATTGAAACATTCAGCTCCTAAATTTTACTGTTCTAGGAAGGTGTTGTGTTTTGTATTTGTATTTGCTGCATGTTAGGTACTGTATGTAGATGCTGTATATGTATGTACTGTATGTGTATGTTGCTAATGGCCCATATTTCATATTTCATTTCTTCCTCTTTTCTATTTTTTCCTAGCAATGGTACTTTTCATTATGACCACAGGCTCCTTCCTATAAGCTTTTAATAGCTTTTTAGGAGTACTGATTCACACATGACTTCTACTCTTATGTGAAGATGTACTGAATATGTGTGGGTGTGTGTGAATAAACAGTGAAATACTCTAAAAACAGAATACTCTAAAAGCAACCCATGCAATGTTTTTTTAATTATACAATTAACCAGATCATCAGAGAACACGGTAAACATGGAAGTTCACAGCCAACAGCTATTTTTCAACCATGTTGTCTCACATTGAGCTGTTGCTGTTTAAGGGATGAGATATGACAAGAGAGGGGTGGATATCCACCAGACGGTTCTATACATACAACTACACTTAACTACAACATGCTTAGAAAGACCTCTGTAGGAAGAGCCAAAAGTCTAAATCATAATTTAAAGTTAGATAGGCAGGATCGTCTGAATGATCCAATATCTGGGAAACCATTTTTATTGTCTTCAAACTGAAAAATTACTTCTACTATGTAATCTTTAATTCAGATTCAGTCCTACTGAAACAGAATCATTAGAAAATGAATTATTCAGTTTCCCATACCAAGCCTATTTGAACTAAAGAGATTTAAACATTGCCTTTGCACAAATTGAAAGAATTTTTAATATTTTACCTCAATGTGGTTTAGCTATTGTTCAGCTAGCATTGGAAGTTTATGAATTAATTAATTTTATTCATATGAATATTGGTTCATCTGTGTCCATGGGATTTTTTTTAAATATTTTCCTAGAAATATATCTGTGAGGTCAGAATCTGATGTTGGATGAGAAGGCCTGAATCACAGTCTCCACTTCTAATTTATCTAAAAGAGGATTTATCAGGTTAAGGATTTGTTAAGGCAAGTAAGGTCCATCTTAATGCACTGGGGCAGAGTCAGGTTGATATAGGTAGCGGCCATTTACAAGCTGTTCTAAGCTTGTAAATGTTCATTGTCTGAAAGCTGCACAAGCGTTCCCTTGAACTAAAGACTCGGGTCTAACAGCCACACCATGTTCTCGTCTGCATCAATCTTTACACTACAGATCTGACAATAAAGCAAATATTGTTCTGGTCCACTGAACAACCTGACTGAGAGGTGTAATTCCATGGGAAAACCTCTCCACTGTGGCCAGCTGCTTTACTCTTCAGCATTAAATGCTTTGCAATGCACTTAGTGGTATAAGGCAGCTACTTTGCAATTGAAACCCATTTCACAAAGCTCTCAACATGAAGTCTGGAGGATTGTAGCAGGATTGTAGGAGTGATTCTGCAGAAAATTGATGACATCTATGAACTGTGAACCTCAGCATCTGCTGATCCCGCTGTGATTTTTACGTGGTCGACCACTTCACGGCTAAGTTTCTATCGTTCCTGATAACGTCCACTCTGTTATAACAGTTGACTGTGGAATAAAAGGTAGAGGGAGAATTTCAGAACTGGACCTATTATGTAGGTGGCATCCTATTACAGGACCAGGACTAGAACTCACTAAGCTTTTGAGAGCGACCCTTCTCTTCCAAATTAAATGTAAAAGCCATCTGCATGCCTACATCCTGGATTGCTATACCTTTAGCTGTGTATGCCATTGAAACCCCTGAATTAAATTATCTGATTTAATAAGCGGACAGTTTTGCATTAAAATCTTCGGATCAATTAAGAGATACGTTTATTTTTGAACAACAGA